TTGTCCTAAGTTATACAAAGTATGAAATAGTTAATTTGGAATAGAGGGTAGTACTAGTTCATAGTTAATATATGTGTCAGAGTGTGTGATATATGATTACTCTTTAATATGTAATATAGATGGGAAATGGTACATACAAATTATGGAAAAAGTACTAATTAAATAGGTCTTGATTAAAAATCAAAATTAGGTTAGTTAAAATCGTAATAAGTTAAATTTACGACAAGCATGAACTATTCAAAAGTTGTTCAAACATTCACATGTCATCTCACAATAAGTCTCATCATATATAATACATGTCATTACTATATCAATAGATACACATCACATTTCGTAAAAAAAAATATAAATTTATTATAAGGTACCTACTTGAATAATTTATACTTTTCTCCAGATTACATATAATAGTTAAAACCAATTCTAATCAATCATGCAGCAGTAGATGACAAAATGAACAAGACGGTCTACAAAGGTTCTTGAAGAATACCACACGTTTGACGTGTTATTATCCAACAAACAATGGCGGAAGTGAAGTAACCCATAAGAATCTCCTTTGTCCGAATCATTTCTTGTTTCTCATGCTTGTTAAAACTAACTCCATTATTTTATACAAGTTAAAATATTTCAATTTTTGATATAAATGGTCAAGTAAGTACAGTTAGTTGGCTTATCCTTGGCATATCAATAAAAGCCCTATTTTTTTACACCAAGAAAAGGACGTCTCCATTCTCCACTTCGATATGCTTAATTAGTGTTGTTAGTGCCTTCAAGATAATGACAATTTAGCTACCACTTTCATAGTTTCCTCTTTAACGGGTCATAATCATTCTTTTACAACTCTCTAATTTTTATCAGTTAAAATATCAATTTGGTCCCTCAACTTTCAAATTTGTATCAAAATTATTCTTTAACTTCAAAAAATACCAAATTGTCCCTAGATTTTAATTTTTGGTACCAAAATAGTCCTCAAACTTTGAAGATAAGTCTTAAACTTTGAAAACAAGTACTAGCTTAATCTTTGACCTTTGATTACAAATATTAGTTTGGTTTTTCAACTTTAATTATATATTAATCTAATATGTAAATAAAAATATATCAAAATAGCAAAATATGATTATTTGATTTTATATGTAATAAGTATTTTAGAAAAGAACTGATTTTGTGATAAGACAACAAATTACATGGCACTTTTATTAACAAAAGGACTTTTTTGGTATTAAAAATTATAGTTTAGAGATAATTTTGGTATTTTTTAAAGTTAAGGGAAATTTTTTATATAAATCTAAATGTTGAGGGACCAAATTATTATTTTAACCAATTTTTTTCTAATTCCTTATCTTGCATAGGGATGATTGTTATAATATGGAAAAATCTACCTCCAAATAGGATTTAATAGGAATCCAAAACCATATTGTGATTAAAATTCCAAAAGATTTGTTAAGTATATTGTGTAGTATACTTATTGGTATAAAAGAAGTTTTGTATCAACAAATTCTTGGATGTATTAATATTTACTAACTTAAAAAAAAAATTGATTTATAGCCAAATTAAGAGTTTAAATCTCCACAATACCGCTGATAAAAAAAAAAATCTCTACAATATCAAACAACTAATTTATGAGGTACAAAAAAAAATGTTGCAAATCAATTACCTATCAAAAAATTATTAAGCAATAAGAAAAAAGTTATTGTTTACACTAGACCCGGCAAAAATCCATTTGACCCGTCAACCCGAACCTAACTTGACCCGTAAAAATGGGTTAGGGTCTACATATGCTAACTTGCAACCTGTAGATAACTCGTATTATCAACCTGTATGGGTCACAAGTTGAGTTAGGATCAACCCGCGAGATGACGGGTTGACCCGTTTATTTTATTTATTATTATTATTTTTAAATATTATACTTATTATTCTCAATTAATTTTCTTATTGGTAATTTCTATTAATTCATACTCCCTAATTTCTAGAGAAAGACGAAGAAATTATGATGAATTTGATCTAATTATCCAAGTATCATTTTTTTTTTTTGGTATTAACAATTACCCAAATATTATGAATGAAATGATAATACAACTAAAAATATTAAAAGATGTGATGCTAGGACATAAACATAATAACTTAGTGAAAGATATTCTTGGAAGAGCAATTTCATCATTAAAAAAATGGTTTAAACTACTTGATAATATTTCAAGATAATTATAAAATTAAAACTTTATTTTCCAAGAAATTTAAATATTTTACGTTTAATATTGTTATTATTAATCAACTTATTATTATTTATAACTTTATGATTTTTTTCTTAATTTAATTGTTTGCTGTTGAGTTTATAAAGTACTTAATTCTAATGAATCACAATACTTTAATTCGATTTAGATATATATAATACAAATAAAATTAATAAAAAATAATTATAAAGAATGAAAATAAGGTCAACTTATGATTTAACCCGTAACCCGTTAGGGTCGGGTTAGGTTGGACTTTTTCAACCCGTATAACCCATCACTCGAGTTGACCCAACCCGAACTCGACCTAACCCACCCGTTTGCCAGGTCTAGTTTACACCATAAATTGCATTTTTTAAGTGATATCACGTGTTAATGGATAAGGTGAGATTAAATCCATTGAAGGGATACGTATCTGTAAAGTTGGTTGGGAGGATAAAGATTATTCGATTTGTTGCAGCTTGAATTTAAAAAGAATAGAAATCCCTAGAATTTAGGAGGAAGTTATCCGTGATCTGATTAGCCAAGAGACAATTTGTAGGAAGAATACAAATAGAAGTTTTTTGATTTTTCAAAAGACACGGCCAGCCCTACACAGAAACTTGTCAGTTTTTCAATTCTTTAGTTTCATAGTAATTGCTCACTTTAGCTTTCAGATTTCAGTTTTAGCATAGATCTTAGTAGATTTAGGTTGTTATTAGCATTCAAGTACCCAAATTAGTTTGTGTAATTGCTTCTGTGATTTTCTTTCATGCAATAAACATCAAGTTTATTTTAATTTGCATTTCATTCAGTTCATTTTGGATCTATTAACTTAAATTCACGATAGTGGTAAAGTCCTTGAAATTGTCCAAGGCATGTTAGCAATCCATTCTGCAAAAAGGCATCCTTTCCTCTTACAAATCGTCTAAAAGGCGCAAAACTCAGTCTTAAACCAACGTTTTTCCAGCCATCCTAACAGAGGTCAACCATGTGGAAGGAAAAGGTTGTGGAAAAATCTTTTTTTCTTGTTTTTCAAAAAAGAAGTGGCATGCTTACATCTAGATTCCGCATGTGCGAAGCCATTTGAGGATTTTTGAGGAAACAGTTATTAATAAGTATTTTCTCAAAAAAATTTCATGTAGAACATAATTAACTGCAAAGTAAGTTTAAATTTCTTTTATATATATGAAGTACATGCATACATAGAACTACAAACATCTATATACATAACTATATTGTAGTGTATAAATATAACATAATTCTCGAAATTAAATGACTATTACCAAGAAAAATCTTGATATAAACGCACAGGCAAAAACATCAACCTCTACCCACCATAATAGTTGATCTCAAATATATAAATTGATATTAAAACAAAAAAGAAAAAGGAAAGAAAAGAACAGAACAGAACAAAACAATTGAGTTAATGTCTTATAAAATACAAGAAAATATTTTACAACTTAAATAATATTAAACTATAAAATATCAATTATTAAAAATATTTTCATTCAATAATTTTTTTTTTTTATCAAAAGGGAATTTTCAAGAAAAAGAAATAATACGACTTGAGAACAAAAACCAAACCATAATGTCCAACCACACCCTTTAAGGGGTGGCCTAGTGGTTGGACATTTTCATTCAATAACTAATATTTTACTAACTCAATTACAAAATATTAAACTTTATAAAATATGAAATTGTAAGCTAGACTTCCAAATCGAAGTAGGTAAATGTTGTACCATGGCGCCGCCATGGTGTGCTGAGAAAAATAGAATAAAAAAAAAAAAGGTCTCAGTTGCTTGTAGGAAATGAGCATGTTTTTTATTTTTATTTTTTTTATTTTCAGTTTTCTATAGTGGGAAAGTTGGAACGGTTATATATTGCGCACTCTGAGTTGACATTCCACCAGACGGTTCTTGCATTTTATTATATTTTTTGAGTAAGGAGTTCGTTTCGTTCATGCATCTGAATTAAACTATCATTAAAAACATCAATTTGGTTTAAGAGCCCGGTGATTAATTAAGGAAGGGCAAACCATCATTGCCATTTGCAACCCAATTGACAAGCAATGAATTGGGCTTCGAATTGAAGAATGGGCCCATGAATATTTTTATTTTTTTTCATAAGTAAGCCCATGAATAAATGTTGCAATCAATTTTTTTACCATGAGTTGAGTAAAAATGTTGCACTAATTTTACCATTGCAACCCAATTGGGGTGAGTATTCACTCTTAAATTGCAGAAATGTACACTTCACCTAATGTGATTTTGAAATGTACACTTTACCCCCTAATAACTAATAAAAATATGCTTTTAAAAGTTAAAACCTTTGTGGTTTTTGTACTCGATCCATCCCGTGTTGTTGAATTTTTACCATCAATATTAATAAATTTTGTCCATTACTTTTGTAATACATGCTTAGAAAGTTATAAGCACTTTTTGCAAAATTTGCTTCTAAGTAGCAATTTATTTTTACACTTTGTTTGGGAGTGCCGCATAGAGCACCTTTTTCACAACACCTTTTTCTAAAAAAAATAAATTTATAATAAATAATTAATTTTAATTAATAATTTAGAACAAAATAGTATCTACAAGGATGGATTTGTCATATAATATTCCACCAATGCAAAAACAAAAGAGGGGTATTTATTTTACTAAAAATTCAAAC